TGAATTAGGTTAAAAAAAACTGCAGTACTTAAACCTCCTAAATCCTCTTCAGATTCAACCTGCACAATATAAAAAGATTTGATAATGCGCTGTGTTATTATTATTATTATTATTATTATTATTATTATTATTATTATTTTCATTATCATTATTATTATCATTATTTGTCCCTTGGGTTCCTAATGAAACATACGGCTTCAGTATAACGTCTCCATTCCACTCTGTTCTCTGAAATCTTTTGAACCTGTCACCACGACAGCCCAGAAGCTCTCATTTCCTCCTCGCACGATCTCCTCCATGTTACCCTCGCCTTGGACGCCCAACTCGTCGCTTCCCATCTGGGTTTCCACTCGAAGACCTGGCCTGGCGCGTGATGTCCCCAGGTGGCTTTCTCAGTGTATGCCCGATCCATCTCCACTTCCTCCTGCATATTTGAGCTATAGATTCTTGGTTGGTTCGTTACTTGGCCATAGTTCCTTGTTGCTTATTCTTTCTGGCAATTCATCTGATCTTCAGTAACGAGCCAGAGTAGGAAGTTGTTGATGAATGTCTGTAGTTTGTTGGAAATGCCTTTCGTAACGCACCAAGTCTCTGAGCCATACAGAAGCACTGACTTGACTGAAGTTGGTGTTGAAAATCCGTATCTTGTTCCACATGCTGAGTGCAGAAGATCTCCTAACTGGTTCCAGGCTTATAAACGCCTGTCTTGCTTTTCCGATCCTGCCTGGCTTTGACGTCCTCGTCTGTGCCGCCTGTAGTTGAGACAGTGCTGCCTAGATAGGTGAAGGAGGCTACTTCCTTTAAGTTTCTCCCGTTGATGGTGATTGAAGTTTGTTGTTGGTGGAGGTGTCGTTGTTGGTGTTGGTTGGGTATCTTCATCACCCCTATCTTCTCTATATTCACTTGAAGTCCCGTCTTCACTGCCTCTTCTGCCAACTTGTTAGTTTTCACCTGCAGATCTTCCAGTTTGTGTGACATCAGACACAAGTCATCGGCGAAATCCAGATCTTCTAGGTTCTTTTACGCAGTCCAGCCAGCGTATCCCCTTCTTCACGCTCCTCACAGTTTGTTGCATGATCCAGTCGACCACAATCAGGAATATCATGGGTGATAGCAGGCAACCTTGTTTTACTCCTGTCTTCACTTCAAAAGCATCACTGAGCTTCCCATTGTGAATTACCTGGCATGTGGCGTCTTCATATAGTTGTTGAATGAGGCTGATAGGGGTTTGCAGTATTCCGTAGTGTTGAAGCAGTTTCCAAATTACTTCTCAGTTGACGCTGTCAAAGGCCTTTTCAAAGTCGATAAAGTTGAGGTAGAGTTAAGTTGACTGCCATTCTATACTCTGTTCTATGATGATGCCAAGCGTTGCAGTTCGGTCCTCACATGATTTGTACTTCCTGAATATAACCAGCCAGCCTGTTCCGGTCGGACTTTTGAATTCAGTGCATCCTTTAGTCTCTCCAAGATGATGCGGCGTAATATTTTGCTTGCTTTGGGTGAACAGGAGAGTGATTCCACGCTAGTTCTTGCAAACACTGATGTCGTTCTTCTTCGGGAGTTTGACAAGGTAACCCTTCTTCCAATCTTCAGGTACCTTCCCTTCCTTCCACACCTTCTGCAATAGTGATGTGAGCATGTCCGCTGTTGTCTCTGCGTCTGCTCTCAGTGCTTCTGGCAGGATTCCATCTGGTCCTGCTGCTTTCCCGCATTTCAGTAACTTTATGGCACTCAGGACTTCCACTTTTGTTGGAGGATTTATATTCACTGGTAGTTCTGTGGCTGGGCTTTAGGTGGTATTTCTGGAGAAGTGCAGGTGGTGGTGTGTCGATTCAAGAGCTTCTTAAAGTGGTCAGCCCATTGTTTCTTTTGTTTCTCTTCTTTGGTAATTATATTTTCTTCATCATCTTTTATTGGTTTCATCTGTGTTGATCTCTAGATAGTACTGGTTATTTGATACAATGTTGTCAGGTCTCCGTCTCTCCTACCAGCAGCCTGTTCTGCTTCACTTGCCAGTGTGTCGTAGAAGTGTCTTTTGTCTTTGCGTGCACTCTTCTTCACTTCTTTGTCCAGTGTAGTGTTTTGTACATTGTACTCAGTTCCTCTTCTCTTTATTCATTCTTGCACCGGTTTATCTTCTGCTTCACCGCCCTCCTCTCCCTGCTCTATCAGTTTCCGTGTGTCCATCGAGATCCATTCCTTATCTTATTTCTTCTTCTTCTTCCTCCTTAGTACGGTTATGCAGGTTTCTTTCCACATCTCTTTCAAAGACTTCCAGTGTTCTTCCACACAGGTTTCTTCAGGGATGTTCCTCGATATCTCCCATTTTGTCTTGATGGCTGGCTTCCGTGAAGATGTACTTTGTAGTTTCGCCTTCAGTTTCTCTTCTGAGTGTTGAACTTGAACTGTGGTCTATCACCAGCTTCCTGAAGGCTTTCAACTTGATTTGGAAGGTTCTTTGCACTAGATAGTGAATGTTCTGAACCTACATCTGCTCCTCTTCTTGACCTTGTGTCAAGTAGACTGCATCTCCACTTTCTTGATATTGAGATAAAGTCGATCTAATTATTAGTGTGTCCTGGTGTCTGGTGAAATTCATGTCGCTCGCTTTGTGGATATCCTTGTGCTTGAACACAGTGCTTGTCCAATCACCAAATCGTTGAATGCACAGAATTCTGCAAATACTTCTCTATTCTCGTTCATTTCACCTAGCGCTTCTCGACCCATGGTTTGTTCTCTTCCTGTGTTGTCTGCTCCCAGTTTGGCATTCATGTTGCCCATTAGAATTTCGGTGTCGCTAACTGAGGTCATGTGCTGTGTCGCCTTTGTTAAAAAGTGTTCTACTGACTACAGTTTTCAGCAGCGGTTGATGGGCTGAAATCTTTCAAATTCTGAAATTTGAGCAATAGCCGGTGTGACTCAAGTACAGAAATCGGTGTTTGTTGTTTTGCACTACACAAAACCTACCATGTAAACTATAACTGTCACTTTAGAAGTCACTTACCCCTTAGGACATAGCATGAAATTTTGCATGCGAAAATATGCAAGAATCAGTTAGTCATAAAATCCCCATTTTGAGTAAGTAGTGGTAAGTTTTTCTCCTTTTGCTTTGTTCAAAAAGCTGAAAGTTCGTCTATGATGAGCTGAAGTGGAAGTTATTAGGCGAGGACTGCAGGTCAGTCGGCAACTAAGTGGCTTGAACTTGTGTTGCGCATACCAAATTACCGCTTATCTTGACCTGAAATGTTGACTAAAATAAGATTGCGTTGGAAGAAGGCTATGTTCAAACCGAAACTGCACTGGTAGATGAAGTCTTTGATTGTTGGTCTAAGCCGTATAGGGAGGCGTAGACTACCTGGCTACAGCCCTCGAAATTAATGGTTGGAAGCTCTTGGTAACAGCTGAAAATCAGTTACAATGGCGCACATGAAATCACTCTTCGATGTCTTCTAAAGTTCCAACATTTTAAAATAACGTTCAATTTTTTAAAATTCTCTGATCCATACACCTTGATCCCACTCTTTTTCTACCCACTTATTCGTCGCACACTTCTGTGAAGTGTGGCAACTTAAACTGAGTCAATCGTGTCAAGTTCTACTTTAGTTTTTCTGTTGCTAGAAATCCATTTTGGATCCAGAGATATAGAAGGAGTATAACCTGAATGATGTCTCGTCTAGCTGATTCAAGTATAATCAATAATTGAAGCAAATATTTATTATTAACATACATTTTTCGCCACTTCACATCTTTTGTTCGATCAAGACGAAAACTGACCCATCTATACAGCGATGGTTCTTCTATAATAGACAGAATCTAAGGTCATTCAGCCCTTTATTTCTACAATACAAGGTATAAACATTTTCCCGGCACCAAAACTGTGGGTCGTTTAGTGGAGCAGTATGTCAAATATGGTTTTAAATTCGGTGCATCAGGTTGTCCACGATTAGTTCCTTGTTAATGTCCTGCTCCACCTTCGGATTAGGTAACTGGATGGTATCATAAACCTTTACACAAAAAGTGTGGTTCATGGTCCAGAACTGAGTAGTATTCAGCCCACAGCTTGATATGTTACCTTGACCCGTAGCCTTGTGGTTCCACATCACGATCGACGTTTTCCTGAAACTAAATCGAATAACCATGTGAAGATATCAAGGCTCACTTAAGTTTTCGCAATATGTAACCACAAACTATTTCTGACCCCTTTTCGGGTCCACGTGGTCTCGTGTCAGTCTGCTCTGGTGACATACTTTTTCAGAGTCTGTCATCGTTAACATAAAATTAAATTTTACTGCGTAGTGTTCCAAGTTACCACATATCATATTACCACGTTAAAATCGTACATTTCGAATCTTATTACCTGCATTTCTGTGTCTTTCGTTTCTTGCTTGTATTCTGATGACATGAAGGCCAAAAAGCAAGAATATTATACTATACGAAGTGAGGAAAAGCTGTAACCTGTAGACAAAAGTTGTTGAGGATAGACGTGTCTTAAATCCAGTTGTACTTGACAAGCATCTTTAAGTTTCTGACTAAGCTTATTAAGAATTTACAATCACGAGACAAGGTGCACAAGTGATATTTCTATAAGAATTATTGATATATTTATTGGTCACTAGCAGAGCAGGTACCTAATTTTATATTGCCCAGTCAATCCCAATACTGATCGAATCGTATCGATCATTTTAAGGTCTGATCACTAAGTTAAGAGATTCATCATTGTAGTGCATTTTAATCTTATTTGGTTAGAGACAATCAACCGGAGGCTATGGTTTGTCACTCATCAGCACACATACATTTCAAAAAAAGTTCCACTTAAAAAGAATTACGTCTGTTTCATATATCATTTGTTAAAACTCTGTAGCGCAAATCATTTATCCTGACTTTCTAACTGAATAATCAGTTATTGTGAAATCGACTTATGAATAACTGCCTATTGAAACCTGTGCATTCTACTATATAGTTGTCTCTCTCTCGCTCTCTCTGTCTCTGTATATTTTCAGATGTGGCCGTTTATCCTTCAGCTTATACGTTCTAATATACGCTATGTAGCATTACCATTTGCTGCTGTTATTGGATTTGTTGGATTCAATGCTGAAAGTTGGTTACGTAGTCCTGAGGAGATATCAAGTTCAATTCACAATCCTAAACAAACCATCTCAGAAGCACGTACACAACGTCAGCTAGTGAATGATTTAAATACTTTTAAAAATGCTGTACACCTTCTCCTGATAGTGAACTTCGATATCATAGCGACCCTATTTTCGATAAGAATAAATGAATATAGCTGGTTAAATCTTGTAGAAAAAAATTTCCAGTTATTTACTATGTTTTATTTTAGGCCAAACCCTATGATAAATATTTGTACATAGTGATGATATACTTGTTCATTTTTCATTATTGTTCATTATTATAAAAGCATTAGAACCAAATCACATGAAGTAGGAGCAAATCATTAATATAGGTGCTAGCCTTTCAGTTAGTGTGCGGTCGAGGTTCCAATTCCGTTCCACTCATTGACGTTTGGATAGCCGGATGTCATTAGTCGTAATATTAGACTCCTTACATTTTTGGATGGTTCCTACTTAAATATAAACACAAAAATATATAAGTTTGCATTCTCTGTAACTATTCAACTATAGTAGTCAACATTTAATTATTACAAAATACGAAACAGAATCATTTCCAATCCAGTTTTTCTCAATATGACAGTGCTCTTCTCTTGCATTACGATCATACTTTAAAGGTGTACTGTGAATTATTCACTCGTCGGTTTAAAGCTTAAATCAATTTGCTTTATAGCAAAAATCATATAAATGAATGCTGAAATAAAGATTGTTAGTATGATCGAGTGATGACTTCTCATGGGGACTGAACTGCTGACTCATATCTTCAACTGAACTCATATTAGAAAAAAAGAACAAATGACTACTAGTACACCTGTAACGACCAGCTGTAGCTAGGTTTATCGTCTAGCCTTTAAGTAGGTATATTGTTGCAGGGAAGTTGGGGGCGTAAAGGAGGTAGGGTTTATTGGTGATCACGAGAATCTGGAAGGTAAAAGGGGAAGAAAAATGTAAGCTGACGACTCTGCAAGTACACATGATGTATTTCCATTTAATAATAAAGATAATTGACAAACGACAGAGCTTGACAACGAAGAGGTCAGGCAGTCCAGAAATCGTAAGTGGAAAGTGGATGGTAAGCTTTCAAATGCGTACACATTACCCATCGTTTGTATGAAATATAAAGTTTGCTTATATGTCAAGTGCATTTGGACCATTGGTCTAGACAGTTGTCTGTTAATCAACGGGTCACGAGTTCAAGATGTAAACATCCAGGTGGAATCATCAGTGCGTGAATGCTGAGTTACACTCCATTCCATGTATCCGTAAGTTGGACATTTGTGACCTCCACAGCTTGGGACTTTAATGCAGGTCTTAGGAATGCAAATCAAAGAGAAATCCGTAGGTTATTATTATAAGAATAAAACTTGTGCACTGTGGTAAAATGTAATTCCATTTTTATTGATTTATTAGATTTATCACATAGTGTAACAGTATTGTTTACGGGATTACGTTTCCTACACAATTTACTATCCATAATCGTACCAAGATAACTACACAACTTTGAGGCAGTTAAAGAAACACTGGAAACTTGAGATTCGTCCTAGTTTGAGCCTCTTCTGTAGCTCACAATCATGTACTTGGAAGGTATAGAGCCCGGGACTGCCAGGTGTCATGGCGTTGACTCTACCATTTATCCAGTTTGTTACAATCTTGCCTACTTTCATTAGTTCGTGATATAGACCGACGATGATCGACTGATATCATTTAGCACCTCAATCAATCAATATCAAAATAATACTAAGCATTACTGGGTAACGATTCAGGTTACCAAACCTCACCAGTACAACAAGTAAAAAAGTAGTATGATAGAGAAAAAAAGAAAAATCAGTAAAAGAGAGGATAGAGTTCAGTATGGTGATTAAAATGAAGATAATGTGTGAATAAATCTACACTATTGACATCGTTCCTGAGCCATACCACCTAGAATCCCTAACCACTGGTTTCTATTGTTACAGGAATTCCAACCAGCTGGTCTACGTCGCCCATTATGACTCAAGTCAACAGTCAAAGACTTCATGAACTGATGCCTTGTTTTAGTTTGGCTGCCTGAGCATTCTTCTAGTCTAAACCTACTTCAGCTAACATTCCACGACGTGGCAGACAGCGATTAGGCATGCATAAGACATGTCCCAACCATCTCAATCGATAAAGATTCATAACCGCATCAACTGACTTTTCTTCCCACCGTAAAGCCCTACACCTGATTTTTCGTTGCTCATGTGGTAACACCATGACGCACACAGTCTTTGCTACGAAGGTAACGGTGGTTAAACATTTGGATCCTTCGTATCTCCTCTACCTTTAACGACCATGTTTCGCAGCATCTGTCCTCACTACTAACTTGATCGTATAGATCATGTCTTCGCTTCAAACTAGAAATCTCGAAATTTCACTTAAATTACTCATCTTAGTAAAAGCTACTATTCTACAAACTGTAAGCTGAACCTAGCTGGGATGATTTAGGATATCAGTATACAAACGTTTAGTCTCTCGTTGTCATACCATACAGTGGAAAGGCAGCAGCTTCTAAAATTCAAGGTAAGGTTGGTCAGTAAGATCTTGGAAATGGAATCAATAGTTAAAATATCCAATAGAAGTGATTTATCGCCTACTGCAGACGTTTGGAAAGTTCGTTAATTTGTATTAATTATCGACTATCATATATTATATAATAGTTCTTCAAATTTCGCGCCTTCCGCCGTCTGATCAGTTTGTTGCCATAAGTGCTGTCAATGTCTGCCGGAGAGATTAGTTAGGGATATAGGATTCATTGCATCTTGGTCCAACTTAGTTCTTATTTGCATCTAGAGGTTCATGGAGATTTATTAATTGATTTCAGGTTGGACTTCACCATGGACTGACATCAGTTAGAGGAACATTGAAAGCCAGGGAGCAGTGGACACCTGTTTCGTCCTAGTATGGGACTCCAGCAGCGCACATCCATGACTCCACCCTGCCAGGGATCGAACCGAGGACCTTCAGGTTCCGTGACCAACTCGTCACTATTGAGCTACCGGGTCGGGATCTAATGTTCCACATCTCCAGCTACTTACATCATAGTAAGTAGTATAATTATTGGTATGAAAATCGTTGCACACCTATTGAAGGAACCTAGAAGTTGCTCTGAAACTGTATGCATTTTAGCTACAAGCAGTGTTTGGGAGAGAACAACTTTATTCCAATTAATAGGTTACTGATGTCAGTTAATTATCGAAATTCCAGCATAGCGGTAAGAAAATTCTTATGAATAAACTTAACCTACTGATTAGAACAGAAAAGATTTGCGTAAGTAATAAACAGCTTTACTAAAGTCTCACTAAGATGAACTTTTAGGCACATCTAGTGTGTTTACAAGGCCACGTACTGATAATTTATAAACTCTAAAAAGGCAAAGAACAAAGATTTAAATGAGAAAAAGTTCTCTTTACAACAATTCCTTCAATGATAATTGGGCATAAGCTGAGATAGATGATATGTTCCATTGTTAACAGTAAGTGAATTTTTGAAAGAAAATACTATGACTAACCACAGTGCTACACGAATCATTAAATCTAATGGAAATTATAACCGAACAAATGTCAACGATTCAAGTTAGGCGAATGATTATAGCTGAAAGTCTATTAAGTAAAGACTATGGTAGACGAAGAATGTACATATCAGTCAGATTGGATGTGATAGAAAAGGAAACAAGAGAGATGAACTTTGTTATTGAAACTGAAGATGTTGTAGCATCACACACTTCCCCAAAATCAATAGCCTGGGGTTTGATGACTTCGACATTGGTGCTGACCTTCATAGTTTAACTGGACTCGCTAGGCTGAAGGCACCCGGTCAAGCATCCTCGCCGTTCGGCAAGCTGTCGTGTTACGTTGCATTGCTCGTACTCGACTCTCTAGCCAGTTAGTTGGAACTCATGGGTATTTTGGCACAGCCATCCAAATATGCTATTCCATCCGACCACGCTATCGTGTTCTTTCTTGGTCTCGTATTCGTGGGTATATAACAAGTCCGAATAATTAGTGATTGGTCTTTGCGTCTGTCGAGTTCGCACCAGGACAAATTCTAAATTGGTGAGCCCGGCGTGATCACATATCCCGACTAATAGCAAATATTGAATTGGTGAGCCAGTTCCATTTTATATTTGTATTTAAAGCAACTGGTCCCTTTGATAAATTTAAACAGCGTAATGGACAGCCACACCGGCAATTGATGTATCAAGATTCAGGGCAGGAAGATGAAGAAAACGGAGGGAAAATGTGACCGAAAGTTTTAAAAGGTCAGGAGTAGAAAGGAATGAAAGGAAGGTTAAGCAATAACGAAATATGATATGTTAGTTAAGATGAAAACAATATGTTTATGCGTATGTGTCACCGCGATCGATTCTCAGCAATATCAACTATGGTCTTCAGCAAGTGAATTTGAATCTACCAAAATAGGCAGTCAAATAATTTCAAAATAACATTTTGTGATATACCAAAAAATGCTACCAGATAAAGGGTGACCAAGGAAGGCAACAAAGAAATATAGAGATAACACTACGTCTGCAATTAAGACATTACACACCTCAAGCAGAAATCTGAGTGTTTGTCTGGTATGCGCTTCTCACCTATCATATGTAACATAGCAAAGTGGTGGGGGGCGTCGAGCACTTCACCTACTTGTAGAGTTTCATTAGGCCAAACGGGCTGGTTGCCGAAGAAATTTCATCTCAGGTACAGAAGGCCCGTTCGTCACTAGCCGAATTGTGTCATCTCTGGTGCCGGATGGAAAGATATCCAAGTATATATCAGAGGACAGATATGCCACGCAGCAGTTCGTTCTGTCGTGTTATATGTCTGTTGAAAGTGGAAGATATGAAGAGAATACAGGTGTTTGATCATGAATTTCTTCGTCATATTGCTTGCATATAGTGAAGTCACCACATGAGAAGCGTCGATGCCAGTCGGAGTATTACACAGCGAATGAAAGTCGTTGCGGTTGTGAACCCTCAGTGACTGAGGTGACTTTGAAATGTTACGCATGCCCAGTCACCGCCTGCCTAGTTATACAATGTTAGAAGAAGTTGGATTGAGTTTGAAGAAGACTCAGGGTGGCCATTTCAAAACATGGCACCACTCTAGTATAGAACTCCACCGGGGATCGAACCCGTGGCCTTCAGCTTCCGTGGCCAGCACCTCACCATTGAGTCACTGGATTGCAGTCTAATGTCCCATTTTTCCAACTGTCAGTTCACAACTTAGTGCGACCACCACCCAATGTCATAGTTAGGTATTTGTCCTCACGGCCACCAGGTTTGCCTCACTGGTCACGACTTCTCATTGTAACTTCGGGAATCACCTCTCGTAGCTAGTCACCAATGAGCACTAGTTGGATTGAATTTGGGGGTTTGTGGGGATTTAAAGATATTTCAAGTTGGTATTCATCGTAGACTGATATCAGTTGGAGGAACAATGGAAACTTATGAGCACCGGATAGCTACTTCGTCCTAGTATGGGAAATATGGACCACTGGATTCTGACTCACCGGCCTAATTGTAATGTGTTGGTAAAGGAGCGTTAAGGTTGCGGGCTGGATCCCTGGTAGGGTCGTGGGTGCGCACTGCTGAGTCCCATGCTAGGATGGAACTGCTGTCCAGTGCTCATAGGTTTCCATTGTTCCTCCAACTGATGTCTGGCTGCGATGAATACCAACTTGGAATATCTCTAAATCCCCACAAACCCTC